TCAGCTACAGTCCTATTTGTGTAAGGCAGGTATTATGCTTGAATGTGGACACAAACATTCCTTTTACAGTCTTCTAGTGTCCCTGAAGCACACGTGCACACTCAGTGTGTTGCAATGTACAGTCTGTGCCACAACTCTTGCAATGACATCTTGTTTAGGTAATTTAAAAATTGTATTTTTATTTTTATATTTTGTTTAATTGGGCCAGAGCCATAAGTGTTTGCTCTAATCAGTTTGGAGGCTTCAAGTTTAAGCTTCGCTTCATTGTAAGTTGATGTGATACGAACGTCCAGTGTAACAAGTGCTGACAAAAATAATTCAGCACAAATTCTTGTATCTGTTAAGGATTAAACCTGCTATTACAAACCTGACTGTTTAATCCAGTCTTTAAGTGATGACATGATGGAGGCATAAACATTAAAGACTTATGTTCTACATATGGTGCTTTTTATTGACAATACACCAACAATAGCATAGAATAGACATGCTAGACATAGAATAAATAGAATAAATATACAATATTGACTTTTTGTTACGCTTTAAAAAATCTGCTTAACACATCAGTTAAGATCTTTTGCACTTTCTCTTGTTGCTCAGTGAGTAACCGACCCTTTTATCCATCAATGAATCAAGCTTTTAGGGCTGCAAAGATTCATTGAGTAAAGTGAATAACTAATGAAAAAACCACAACGCAAATATTTTTGCTTTGATGCTTCATTAACCCATGACTCTGCAGCACTCAGCTGTCACTATGCAAGTAGTTTAGCATGGCTAGTTTAGCACGTCTACACACACAGGAAAAAGCAAAGAGGCCGAGCTGTTTTCACGACTGTGAGCTCAGGTGGCGTGAATAAACATTTCTTCTAGTATCCAAAACAGCAGCGCTTGTCACTGTAATCACCATAAAAAAGTTTACTGGGAAAAAGCTAGTGAGCGCCCTTAATCAAATCAAACCACCTGTTCAGCAAGCTCCAATGTCAAGGAAAAACAAACATTGTAGCTGCTCCCATCAACCGCTGTTGGTTTTACACTGAAAAATGTACAAAAAGCCGCAGCAGTTTAAAATAGAAGCGCATGTGGGCAAATGAACTGGTAACTTAGTGAAATATTGTGTTTAAATCACGCAGCTTGCTAAAAGCTGACAGCAGCCGTCCCACTTTCTATTGCAGTGATACCTGCAGCAAGCAGGGGTGAGTCTAAAAGTGGGACATGGGGTGTACTAGACCCTGTTCACCTCAAAGCTTTAGTAACATTATTTATCAGATTTAGATTAAAGGAATATATAAATAAATTATTATGATAATTAAATTATAATATTTTATTGCAGGCCAGTAAAACTCTGAGCCACTTACCTGAGGCAGTTAGGTTGGACACCGATTTATTATTAACATTAATTATTAACATCTACACCATCAGAACGTGCATTTCTGCAGCAGCTCAGAGAATGCTCATATGGTCCGCCACATGCACCTTTAAAGGTTTACACACTTCAATATGCACATAAACACACCAATGCTTCCTGCTAATGTAGGAAAGCCTTCAAAGAAGACAGCGCAAAGCCTCATTTTAGGTTCTATTTAAATCTATTAAATGCCATTACTGCATTTGTGATTACTTTTTTATGCACTTATGTTTGCGCTTAAAAACGACTTTTTTAAATTTAGCATCCAAATATAGTTTTTAAACTATTAAAACACTAAAATTTCTCAAAAAGAAACCGATTAGCTTATTTTTAACATTTTTATTATTGTTTATTAATATGACACAAGTATTTGTTTCAGTATCTTTTACCAGGTCCTCGTCCAATCAGTTTGGAAACTTTCACTTCACTTATTCATGTAATCTGCTTTGACACATTCTATCAACCAAATGAGGAGAAGTAAATATACAGCACAAGCACAGTGAAGCAAGAATTGCATGTACATTCCTCCACGGAGAAAAATATTCCAGCCCTGCCAAACAGTCAACATATGTCAAATAACTGAGTCATACATAAACACATCAGTCTTAGTCTGCATCTGCTTTGCACAGACAATACTGTTATGTAGTATTGAGAAACAAGTGATTGTTGTTTTGTTTTTGTTTTGTTTTTTGTGTGTGTGTGTGTGTG